GACTAATGTAGGAAAAAGAATGGGCTACTGGGTCAGAGTACTTAGATTCAGTTTCTCACTCTATGATTTTCTGTGTCATCGTCTTATTTATATTTCTCTGAATACATTTTTTAAAAATAGAATGTTAGTATCTACCTCTATTGATTACTGGGAGGACTGAATGAGATTACCTTTGCAAAGATTTAGCACAGTGATAGGCACATCTTTAACACTTTCCAGTGAAACCATTTATCTCACTCATTTTCCTAATCATTGGTACTTTACACTGCCTTTTCTCATTAACATCAAAAAATTGGCATTAGAAAATTTAAAATCTTTCCAATTTTTTTTTAATGTTAAAACAAAGCAGTATTATTACTGGACAATCTACATTATGCCCCATATTTCTCAACTGTATTCTGGTCACTCAACCATAAATATAAATATCAATAAATAGTATTTTTAAAAGCGAAGATTTTTCTCTACACAGTTTCTCCCAAGAATCAAAAATATGAAACTTACCTTAAGCATTACCAGGTAATCATCATGACGCTGAATCTGAAGAAGGTTAGCCAAAGCCATCACACCAGCCTTAAAATCGGGATTATTTACTATGAAAGATTAAAAATAAATAAATTATGTAGCTCTGCAGACATAAAAGCTTGCAAAATAGATTTTTAAATTTTCTAATGTCATTTTTTTATATTAATAGAAAAAAGAAGTGTAAAGTACCAATGATTAGGTAAATGAGATAAATGGCTTCCCTATTAATACATTTCACAAGTAACAGAACCAATATGTGACTAGCTTAACTTGCATTAGATTTTTTCTATAACTTTGCAAGTCTCATTTTTGTGGCACTTTTAATTTACATTTCTTCCCAAAGTTACTAATTTTAACAGAAAGATTCCTTCAATGAAGAGTTTGCCTCAAAACTTTTCTCTAAGCAGCATATACAAGCATGGAATGTACAAGCTTATTCATTCACAAAAATAACTCATAATTTAACATATCATTATCTAGGTAATTAAACTCTTCATACTTTCATAAAGGGGAAATAATTACTGACATGTGCGACTTAATGGAAAATTTTATCATCTATGTCATACTATAACTGAATTAAAAAATAAAATTTATACACCCAGGAAGGCAAACAATGACCTGCATGATTAAATATAAATTGAAACCCCAAACTACTCGGAGTGAACTAAAGAACAGCATAGGGCCCTGGGTTCAATCCCCAGCACCACAAAACAAACAAACAAAAACATTACAGAGAATAAAATGTCAACATAAACACTATTTACATAAAGCAGTCTTAATTTAATGACACCAAGTTAAATGTGAACTTCATTCCAGGAAGTAAAACATATGTAAGAAACCAAAAATGATGATCAATTTTATAATTAATACTTACCATCCAAATTGATCAACGGCTCTGCATTTTTAGTTGCATTGTCAGTATTTTTTGCATTATCAGGTACCAAGTCCTTGTATTTTTCAGCTATAAAA